AGATAGATAGATAGATAGATAGATAGATAGATAGATAGATAGATAGAAGAGATGGAGATATCTTTGTGTATTCATATTCAAAGGCAAAGGAATATGAATCCATATTCAAAAGGAAAAACTAACAGCAAGGGAACAAGAGCGCACAGCTTGCAAACGACGGGAATTTTTGTACAGTAAGATTGTAGAGGGAGACTGACCCAGCTGATTCCGGCACGTTCCCTTATTGTGACGGTGATATTATTGACCAGCAGAAACGCTGTGAGTGGCGTAAAGGAGCCTGTTCCGTGGTCACGTTTAGGAATGTCGGTTTTGCAACCAGCAAAGCTTGCAGGCTGGAAGTTTTAAGTCGCCAAGACAAGTTGTGGGAGGGGGAAGAGAGGGGGCTTCTGGGATCGACCTGCAATTGCCGGGGGGCCCCCCGCAACCTGAATCTGAGAGATTTGGAAAAATAAAATAAAAGACGTTTGGGAGCCACACCTGCAGACCTGCTCCTGTGGCGTGGGGGAGAGAAGGTAATCTGGAGGTAGGTCAAATCCATCCGGATCTTCCCCAAACTGGGTCACGGAGAGTGCAGAAGGGGCAGTAAAGAGATTTTTTGGGGGGGTCAGAAAGAAATGAAAACAAAAAAAACCAACCACCACCCGGCTTGAAGTCACCTTCTCCCTGGTGCGTGCTTTCCAGCTCGCTGCGAGGAATTTGGACCCGGGTGGGTGCAACTGGGGTCTCTCCTGGCAGGTTGGGAAGGGGGAAGACTGGGTGCCCAGGGGAGCATTTCCTTGCCCCCCCAAGGAGGTGGGGGGCTGCTGCCCCGCTCCTCGGCACGGTTCCTGGGCTGCAGAATTTGCCGCACTGGCTGTTCCGAGGCAGCTCTTGGCCCCCCTCTTCCCGGGGAGGACAAACCTGGCACCCTTCCACCCGTCCAAGGCAGACCTCACTTCGCCCCTCCTTCTCCCTCTTTTGAGACGCTCGCTCCTAGCCTATAAGAGTTTTAGTCTCTTGCGGAACCTGGCTTAAGATGAGCGCCGAGCGGAGAGCCGGCTGCGGGGCGGAGGTGTGCATATCAGCCCTCGAACCATGACTGTATAACTCAGGGATGTCGTGGTCGAAGTATCAAAGGTAAGGCGGGGGAAAAGAGAAATAGGAGATTTTTGGGCCGCTCACCTCCTCTGTCCTTGTGGCAAGGAGGAAACGGCTCTGGGGGAAAATCTGCCAGCCGCTTTGGCTAAGAACCTGGGATGGGTCTCCTTCTCTCCGAAGGATCGTGGCCAGGATCGATCCAATCCAGTCTGGCCCACTTTGGAATCCAGAGCGGATCTCCGGCTGATCCTGGCTACTTTTGCAGAGGTCCTGAGCCATTCCTGCCCGATGAAGGCGCAGCTTTTTTGTCAGATTCGGCGTGGGGTCTCTCGCTTGAGCAGCAGCGGGGGGTTGGACTAGATGGCCTACAAGGTCCCTTCCAACTCTGATTACCTGTTAGCTCTGGCTTGAACCCAGGAGGGCACCTTTCTGGGACTCGGCGGACTTTCGCCTCAAGGAGAACCTTCCCTGGCCACTTGGCAAGGAGCGAACCTTCCGGCACTGCCTTCGTCTCTTTGGGACCGCTGGCTCGGGGCGCCCACGGCTGTTACCCAGCCAGGGATGGCAACTTTCTAGGAATCTCTTCGGGTTGGGAGGAGGGACTCCTTTTAGAGAAGTAGGAACCTGCTGCTGGGCAAACCCTCCCCGTCGGCCTGATCCGTTGCTTCCGGATTGGGCTGCCTCTTCTGCATAGCATCCCTGGCACGGCTCCGGGTTCTCCCCCACGGCTTCGCTGGCACCCTCTGGCGGCCGCTTCTCGCTGACTCTTGCTTTCTGCTTCAGCCTTTTCCCCTCTGCAGGCATCTCGACTGGCTGCTCTCCCAAGCCAGCCTCCTCCTCCTCCTCCTCCTCCTCCTCCTCCTCACACATGTCCTTCCTCTCCCCGCTGCTGTTGGCTGTTTTCCTCCGGGCAGGGAAGCCGGTGGGCCCTCGCGTGCCGGAGGATGAACACATGACCGGCCTTGTGTACATGACGTGTTCCCGGCCCCGTGCCAGGCCGTGACGCGGTGGGCGGAGGTAGGATCCAGTTCCACATATGGAGAGGAGCCCGCTCGGCTCGGGGTTGGCAAGGAGTCCGGCGGTCAGCGGATGGCAGAGTCCGAGGATGGGGCAGTTAGTCAGGAAGCTGGGCCTGAGGGTACCTTCCCCGCGGGGGGCTCTGGGGCAGGTGAGTCCTGGCACGGTTTGGCCTCTGCAGTTTCCCCCTCTGCCACCTCTCTCCCTTCTCTGCTTGGCTTGTCTGTGCCTTCTCTTCCCGGGTGCTCCGTCCGCCCAGGCTTTGCTGCGTTTTCCTCTGGTCTTTTGACGTTCAGCTTTGAGGGGCAGCTATTCTCCTCCTCCTTTTTCTCCTTCTCTCCTTCTCTTCTGGCTTTTCCCTCAGTTACTTCTCTCCTTCTCTGTTCCCCGAGCTGCTCTGGGACATTTTGTTCTTCCGCGAAGTGTTTTGTGCTCAGCTGTTTCTTTTACTTGCTCGCCATTTCTTAAATCTTCTCTTTCTCCTCCTCTCTCTAGGTTCCCCTCATCTTTTAGTAGTTTCTTCCTGTCTCTTTTTTCTGTTATTTTAATTTTTCTTTCTTCTTTCCTTCTCTTTCTTCCTTCTCTTTCTTTCTTTCCTTCCTTCCTTCCTTCTTTCTTTCCTTCTTTCTTTCCTTCCTTCTCTTTCTTTCTTTCTTTCTTTCTTTCTTTCATTCTTTCTCTTCTTCCTTCCTTTCTTTTTTCTTCTCATTCTCATTCTCACTCCCATTTCTTTCTTTCCTTCCTTCCTTCTCTCTCTCTCTCTCTCTCTGCCCCCACCCGTACATATACAAGTACACATTCTTGCATCCTCTATCCTACTCTCTGTCCAAACCGAATCGGCTGTTCCTTTCCAACCATATTTCAGGCTTCTGGCATGTAGGCCCAGTTTGGGGAGCGCCTCTCTCGGCTTGCGCACATCTTCCAAGCAATTGTTGTTGCAAAAACTACGGTCACATTTGTGAAGCGTCGAAATCTCCGGCGCAAGAATCTAGAACTTGAAGGAAGTGTGTTTGATTCGGAATTCAGACCATGTTTTTCTCTTCCTCACCCCCCCTCTCCCTGTTATGCTTCCATGGTTGGGACTAGATGGTTTGGGACTTAATTTTTGGGCAAGAGTGACTTTGTTGGGTTGAGGCTTGAGGGGTGAGGAGGCCCTCCTGGGAAACGAGAGCCAGAGTAGGACTTGAGGAAGTAGGAACCCTTGAGTAGGACCCTTTGCAGATCTATCTGTGCCTTCCAGGTCTCAGTCTTCTTCCTCTGTGAATTGGGTTATAGTTAGACTCAGTACGGCGCTTTTAACTCTGGCTTGTTTGTGGTCTTGGATCCACCAAGAGGGCAGCAGACGTTGTCTTCCCATCTCGGGATTAGCAAAAACCGAAGGGGGACCAGGAGGTGTTAGGAAGGATGGAGACAACTCAGCCTTCCCTCTTCGGCTTGGGCAGCGATTCTAACTAGGCCAATGGGATTTAAAAGGGTGCGTTGCGCCCAAGGAGTCTTACGTGTGGCGTATCCGACACAGGCGTCCTCCCTACACCTTGCAGGCTTCTGCAAAGGCATCCGGGCCGGCCGCCAAGGTCTTTCGGAGCGTATGACTTGCCGGACAGCCCGTGATTAATTTTCTAAAATAAGAACCTGGGTTTATAGGCGCTGTTAAAAAGCAGCAGGCTCTTATGCTTTGCCAGCCTTTTTTTTTGCCATTAGACAGGGCAACCAGGATGGGATTATGCTCTCGGGAAGGAAATGTTCTCTGTACATGTCCAGAGGCACTCTTTTGGCCAGCTGCAGATTGCTAAAAAGTTTCAAGATTATGGCGGGAGAGATAAGGAGAGAGAGTGTTAGAATTAGGGTTAGAAATAGACAGACAGACAGACAGAAAATATTTTAGTTTTATGGTTAGGGAGAGAAAGAAAGAAAGAAG